GTCATATTGCTGCAAACTATTACGGAAAATACAAGAAGAACGATAAACGTCAGTTAGTCGTGCGGATGGGTATGTTACTTTTTCCCAATTTTTCTATCAATTTCTTATTACTTATTTATACTTCATATTAACTATTACATATTCCTAATGGCTTAGGTTACGAACTCTTACCTCAAAGGTTTGAGTCGATGCTACAAGAGCTGTTTGGCAAAAATAAGAAGGGGTGCGAGTACATTATGGACATCAGCAAAGAAATGTGGACAAATGCATATGACGGGGGGTATCGCTATGGTCATATGACAACAAACTTGGCTGAAGCAATAAATTCAACCTTAAAGGGGGTGCGTCATTTACCAGTCACGGCGTTGGTTAAAACGACTTATTTTCGTTTGGGTCAACTCTTTGCAAAGCTCGGTGGACAAGCTCTTACTTGGATGCAAAACGGACATATATACCACCCAAGACTAGTAGTTGATTTACATAAAAAAGTGGCTGCATCAAATGGGATGTTAGTTACAAATTTTTCTCGCACCCGTGAATTGTTTCGTGTAACCGAAAAGCCACGTCCGCTGCAAGGGATTGAAGCTAACTCTTTCAGAGTTAATCTGCAAGAGAGGTGGTGCGATTGTGGTTTCTTTCAAGCACTCAAATATCCATGCTCTCATGTCATTGCTGCTTGCTCACATTCGCATTTGGACTACAAAAATTATGTTGATCCCGTATACCAACTTTCACAAGTATTCAAGGTATATGAATTTGAGTTTCCGCCCATAGGAAACGAAAGAGACCCAAATGAGATTCAAACTTGGCTTACAATTGTACCAGATCCATTGCTATTGAGGGACTCAGGTCGTCCAAAATCTACTAGAATACATTGTGATATGGATATTCGGGAGAAGTCAACAGAACAAAAACGATGTGGGCATTGTAGAAACATCGGGCACAATAGAAAAAAAATGTCCAGCTCTGTTATCATCATATAACCGTTAACTCTTATGTAATTAATATTGTATTTAAATGAATGATTTTGTTTCTAATAATTTAATGTTATTGCATTTATATAATTTGTCAATGTATGTACACCTAAATAATTTTTTTTTTAACTTTTAAATACATAAATATTTTTAATATATTTATTTAATATAATAATTAATATTATTAGTTATAATTTTTTTTAAATATAATAATAATTCCACCTTCTAAGTAGAGAAAAATATTAAATTAAACAAATTAAAAGTTATTAAAAAATTTATGTATACGATGACACATTTCATGTTCTGATTGGAGGATTAAATTTATTAAATTAAATTTTTAATAAGACTAATTTCATAAAATATGTAAGTCTTGAAGATTAAATATGTAATTATACTAATTTATTAACTTATGCATCAATATTTTCGTTAAATATTAATATGAGATGACTAGATTGATAATATTTAAATAATTAACTGATAAAATTAATAGATCGATAATCAAAATCAAAAATAATAATATAACCATATGTGTAATATTACAATTTCATACATTTTTCCTATAACTACAATAAAGTCAAAACTGTTTTTCATATATTGTTATATCATATTAATGTAGATAATTCACTCTACCTTTAACACACATTAACAAAATACATTTGATAATTCTTACATTATAATCGAAACATTTTACATAATATATTATTAATTTATAATAATAATAAAAATAAAATATTTATTATTAAACAAAATATGTGGCAGTCGAGCTGACGAAAGACGCGTCCCCGGAGATGCGCCTTCCACACGTGGCATCCAACTCAACGAAAACACGGGTAAAACGCGTCTCCGGGAACGCGCCTTTCGTCAGCTCAGCAGAAAGGGTGCTACTTCAAAAAATATTGATCAAACGGTGTCAGAAAAGAGATATTAGAGAAAATTGGTGTCAAATAGCCTGATCTTGACATATAAAGCACAGCTTCCCTGGCGTAAAGCCATTGGTAATTCCCTTGAAAACATTATTTTGTCTGTTTTTGCTTTGTTTCAAGCTTTCTCCTTTCATGGGGGGGTAAAAACTGGGTCTTGTCAAGTTTTATTTCTTGGTTTTGTTGTCTTAAAAGATAAACAAACACAACCTCGTATGTTTTAGTTGTCTATGTCTGTGGATAACATTCTTTAATAAGAATTAGCAAGAGAATCACTTATTTTCCTCTTTTTGGGATCTCAGATCTGTATATTTTACTCCCACAAAATCTCATATTCCTCTGTATATATATGTAGAGAATATTGTAAAGTTGCGGAGATTTTGCCTGTCTATTCAACTAGCTTCTTTAATGGATGTCTTCATCAAAGATCTTAGCTTTGGAGATATTTTGTAAGCTTTTGATGTTTTTGAGTGGCAGAATTGGGGGATCATTGAGACAAGTAGGGCAAAGCTTGATTGAAGTTTGATTTGGTTGGATATCTTGGATACATAACAAAAGGTAATTTTGAGGGTTTCGTTTCAAGTTTTTTTAGTTGCTTTTGTAGCATTTCATGTTCATGAATTTGAACACATCGGTCGTCGTCTCATCGGAAAGATCTTGTTAGTTTCAACATGAGTAGTAGTAGTAGTAGCAGCTGTAAGACTATAGTCTGGTTTAGGAGGGATCTTAGGATTGATGACAATCCTGCTTTGGCCGCCGCTGCGAAGGACAACGGTGTTTTTCCGGTCTATATATGGTGCCCCAAAGAGGAAGACCAATTCTATCCCGGTAGAGTATCGCGGTGGTGGCTGAAGCAATCTCTTGCTCATTTGGAGCAGTCTTTGAAGTCTCTTGGTTCTGAACTTGTGTTGATCAAGACACATAGTACTCTTTCAGCTCTTTTGGACTGCATCAATGCTACAGGCGCTACTAAAGTTGTATTTAACCATCTTTATGGTATGTTCTGATTCATCTGATGATGTTATTTCAATCACTAGCAGATGCTTATGCGTTTCGTTTTGCTGTTCTTTCGCAGATCCGGTTTCGTTAGTTCGGGATCATAACATCAAGGAGAAACTGGCAGAGGCCGGCATTTCCGTGCAAAGCTACAATGGAGATTTGTTATACGAACCATGGGAGATATATGATGAGAAGGGGCAAGCTTTTACGACCTTCGACGCATATTGGGACAAGTGCTTGAACGTGCAAATGGAACCTGTTTCACTTCTTCCCCCATGGAGATTGCTGCCAGTTGAAGGTAAATTTGAACAAAATAACATGTAATCTGGTTCGGTTCATTCTTGATAGTACGAAATCGAAGCTAACTCGAAGATGACTTGTGTACTAAGCATGATGCACACATGAATATTGCAGAAAATGTGTAATCAGTTTTCTATTCTTTATCCTTATTAGTGACAGGAACAATAGAAAAGTGCTCGATCGAAGATTTGGGCCTCGAAAATGAAACAGAAAAAGCTAGCAATGCATTGTTAGGAAGAGCATGGTCTCCAGGTTGGGGCAACGCCGATAAGGCTCTAACCGAGTTTATTGAACAGAACCTGTTCGACCATTCGACAAGCAGACTTAAGGTCGGGGGCAACTCCACATCGCTTTTGTCTCCGTATCTTCATTTCGGGGAGCTAAGTGTGAGGAAAGTTTTCCAGAGCGCACGGATGAAACAGTTAATATGGACAAGAGAACATAATGCTCAAGGGAAAGAGAGTGTAACACTTTTTCTAAAGGCCATTGGGCTTCGAGAGTACTCCCGGTACCTTACCTTCAACTTTCCGTTCACTCACGAGAGACCGTTGTTGAGCAACTTAAAGTATTTTCCTTGGAATGCCGATACGAATCGTTTTAAAGCTTGGAGACAAGGTCGGACGGGATATCCGTTGGTGGATGCTGGAATGAGGGAGCTTTGGGCAACTGGTTGGATACACAATAGAATAAGAGTCATCGTTTCGAGTTTCGCGGTGAAGTTTCTCCTTCTTCCATGGAGATGGGGAATGAAGTATTTCTGGGACACACTTTTGGATGCGGATTTAGAATGCGATATTCTCGGTTGGCAGTACATTTCCGGCAGCTTACCCGATGGTCACGAGCTAGAACGATTAGACAGCCCACAGGTACATTTTTGTGTTATTGGGGGTACTATCTTCATGGTAACAAGCATTTTTCCTTATCTTTGAACCTCATTTTAAGTTGATTTTTTGAGTCAGATTCAAGGAGCCAAGTTTGACCCTGAAGGTGAATATGTAAGGCAATGGCTGCCGGAGCTAGCGAGGATGCCAACCGAGTGGATCCATCATCCTTGGGATGCACCTCTTACCGTGCTTAAAGTCGCCGGAGTGGAGTTGGGGTTAAACTATCCAAAACCTGTAATAGATATCGATACAGCTAGAGAACATCTGAGAGAAGCTATATTTAAAATGTGGGAAACGGAAGCAGCTGCAAAGGCTGCAACTTCGGATGGGATGAGCGAAGAAGTTTTCGACAATTCCGATGGTATTGAAACGTCTCCGATCCCTAAAGTTATTCTAAAAGAAAAGTCTTCTTGTCCGACATATTCATCTAATGATCAAAGGGTTCCATCATTTCAAAATGGCAATAACGGTTCATTGCATAGGAAGAGAGCAAAACTTGTGGAAGAAAAAAGGTTGCCTGCTAATAAACCGAATAACCACGATAAACAAGCAGGGACCTCTAGAGGAGAAGAATTATGCTCGACAGCCGAATCTTCAACATCCAAGAGGCAAAGTATTAGCAGAATGTCATTTTCCGTCCCCCAATCTTGTTCTTCGTCCGATGGCAGGCTGTTGCAGGAGTACGATTCTTCTGATACGAAGCAATCAATGCAAGAAAAGATCAACATGGAACAGACTTCAAGTAAGAATGGTAAGTAAAGCTATTTAGTTATCTCACTAGTACATTGGCTTATGCCAACCTGCAAGCCTGAGCCCTTGAAGAGCTCGGGGTGCTGCGAATTGTGCTCATGAAATATATATAAGTCGAATTAGTGTGTTTTTATGTACAATAGCTACTGATTTGTATGAACTTCAGTCATATATACCATAAAACTTTAACATCAAATCATGCTTTATTGATTATACATTATATGGGTAAAATCTTGTGATTTACTCAAAATTTGAACCACTAATCCCCACCACCATTTCTACATTTTCCCAAACCAATGAACAAAAATGATAAACAGCTCCAGGTCCAAAGATCCCTAACAACATCAAAGATAACCCCAGAAAAACGACGTATACTTTAACACACACACCCCTTCGGATTGTTGCAGTTGTTATTTTCATCGATCCATTTAAGAAGTACCATTCTTGTTCTGGTATTATTTTCTCTTCTTTCTTGGCTTTTCTAGTTATCACCCTGGTTGTGTTGTTTTCACGTACTGTCTTGGCTCCAAAAGAAGCAACAAATTCCAGTTCTAAAGAGTTAAAAATCTTACATCAAACGGCACCCCTCTTCCTGCACCGGCTCCTGTTCCGGTTCCTGCAGACATAAACAGGACAAATTACTATGCTTTGCTTCTAAGTATCATGTTACCCGGACTTCGTTTTCGTTGAAGTGCCTATTTCCAACTTATATTCGTATATGGTACGTATTTCAATATACCTTGATTATACTGGGAGTAATAGATGACTTAGTTGGAGCTAGGGTTCCGAATCCTGATGACTTCAGTTTCTTATCCGCCGCCTTTATTATCTGGAAAGAACATGTTAAATTCCTGTCCACGCTCATCATGGCAGCAGCATTGTTGAACTCTCCGCAGTAATTCGGGGCCGAAAATATGGTTACAAGTTTCCTATTAGCAAAGAATTCATATCCATCTTCAACGACCTACAAGCACGGACATCAGAGATTGAGACAGAGGAACCCAAAGACAAAATCCAACAGATGTTTCGTGTCAAAGGTATTTAAACCTGGTGTGCTCGACATATTATGTCGATATCAAGCCTCTTGAGACAATCAGTCACCCTATCAGCACCGAACATGTAGGAAACTCCCCGATCATTAGGACCCCATCCCAGGATGTCTTTACTAGGATCAGACCATAGGAGATCACAAAGCAGGCCAGATTCTGGTACGTCGGTAGGCCTCTTTATGTTTCTAATCTGATCCATACAGCGTAGCTCCGGTGAAAGTCCGCCATGCATGCAGAATATCCTTTCTTCAACCAGAGCTGCCACGGGCAGGCAGTTGAAACAATCTGTGAATACTTTCCAGAGCCGCACATTGAATCTTCGTTTACACTCGTCGTAAAATCCGTAGACACGGTTTACTGAAGCACATTCGTGGTTGCCCCTCAGAAGGGAAACGTTCTGAGGATACTTGATCTTGTACGCCAGAAGAAGGCATATCGTTTCGAGGCTTTGTTTTCCGCGATCTACGTAATCCCCCAAGAACAAGTAATTGGAACGAGGAGGGAAACCGCCATTCTCAAATAGCCTCAGGAGATCAGAATACTGGCCATGAATGTCTCCTGCATCACAAAAATGATGTACATGAATCACAATGCCATGTTACTCAAACTCGAGTGTAGATATCGAATACCAGTTCGAAAAAATTCAAAAGTGGCATGTACAATACATAGCACCGAAGTTATAAGCATAAACTTTCACAAATGTTACACATATGATCTCAAGGTCATTTGATCTGTAGTACTAAATTGCAGTCTCAAGGTCATTAAGACACCTCAACCGCATTTTTGCTGTTAAAAACGTAGTTATTTTTTAGAAATAAATCATGTCGTAACGTCTGTGACCGCAATTTAATACTGTGATAGGATCTCATATGGCAAAACCAGAAACAATCAACGTAAAGCACCGAGAGAATAACTGGAAAACTCTTATGCAGAAGATCTAATTTCAGTGAAAATGCCCAAAATCCCATACATCAAAATAACTTCAAGCCTATCTTGAAGCAAAACAACCCATTTACGAACAAATTATAGCATGAAACAACAAGTAAACACATAAACCGGTAGAATCCAATTTCAAAAGAATCAAATTCATGCACAACTATGAACAGAGAGATGAATTTAGATTGAAGAAAAGAAGATAGATACCACAAATCTTAACAGGTGCTTCAAGCTCCAAAAGAATGGGTTGCCTGGAGAAGATATCTTTAGAGACAAGACAAAGCTGCCTTATTTCAGATTCAGAAAGCTGGACAAGTTTCCCTGGTTTGCCTCTAACTTCAAGCAACCTATTGATTATGCTATCAAGAACTCGAGCTTCCATAGTCCAAAACAACAACACCCCTCCTAAAGATCAAACCTTTGTGGACCAAATGACAACAAGAAGAGAAAGGCAAGAAGATAAAGGCAGGCAAAAGAGAAAGAATCAAAGAATAAAGAAAGGGTCTTTCCACCACTTGCATGTTTTGTTTTTCTGGGGAAAGTGAAAGAGAATGTTTTTTTTTCTTTAAAGAAGTATGATTTTCATCTTGGTGTTGTTCAAGCATGCACGACTGGTCGTTCATGGTGCGCGGGGAATTTTTTACTTATTTAAAAATATTTTATTTATCTCAAATTCGTTATAAATATATAGAGGTATATTAAGTGATCTAAAGTTGATTTAGTACGAGTTGACTTTGTAAATATTATTCTTGTGATGTCCCTTGGAAACCAAAGGCAGCCACAAGAATATATCCTAAGTTTTCTTTTTACATAAAATAACAAAGTATTAAAGGGAAAAAAATAAGGTGACTAAAATGGAAACAAAAGAGACGAGCTCACACTTTGTAGGGCCATTCATTTCTTCTAGTTTAGATGGAGAGTCGTAATTGATGATTAATTGTAGGTTTATATACGATCAATGTCATATGATTTGAAAAATTCAAGATAAAGAAGACAATGAAAAATAAAATCAAGTATTTGTCTCTTTATTGTTAGTGTTGGTCATAAGGTCATGATTGGTACTCGTAGATTGGTAAGTTGAATAAATGACTGTTTGACAGTAGATTTGGCTCTGACGTCTATTTCATAGCCTCCAGTTATTTACTCGTACACTAACGGAACACGAACAAAAGGTTGACCCACCCCGAGCGTTGACATTGTTTTAGTCATTCGCCAAATTAAGGAGAGATGTTTCTTTAAAACCCAGACATCGTAGATTACGTGGATCTGTCAAAGATAATGTCAAGATAAGATGATCATGTGGGTATTTGACAATACCGAGGAATAGACTTTGAATGATATGGTCGATGAAGGTGATTCTTCGAAGACTTCTTATTCTGAAGGTTTTGATAGTCGAAGAGGTTGTTTACGGAGGAGATTCGAAGGAGGTATAACATTTTTTTTTCTTGAACGAGAGAATACTATAAAGTGGTTTGACTCAAGACTCTATATGACCGACACTTCTTGTATTTAATGAGTTGTTTTGAGGGAACGCAATAATGATTGCTTATGTATGACTGGAGACTCTTATGCCCTACAAATCTCAATTTATGGTATAGGCGTGTCCTACGGAATATAAAGAAAAGAAAGGTCCAAAATAGAATGCATACAAGTGTGATAAAGACATGGCTTCAAGGCCTTTCATCCCCTTATAAAAGGGAATCAACTCCATCAATTTTGTTGCCAAGCAAGAAGAAAGAAAACAACTATGATCTTAAAGATGTCTAAAGCTTTCTTGCATTTGTTCTTCCTTGGAATGGTGTTTGTTTTCACCTCCGTTCCATCTTTAGCCAAAGAATCCCGCAGCGATTATGAATCGCCCTACGTGATCCTGTTTTTCGGTGAGAAACCATTGCAACAACACATAATCCAGCTGCGTGATTGGAGACACCTTCTACAAGCCGTTGAAGAAGAGGGTCCGTTCGTTGGTGAAAAATCAGTTGATGAATTAGGAGAGTCGAAAGGACCACTGGGAGAAGAGGTTTAAGCAGCGAGTCCGTTCGCCGGTGAAAAATCACCTGGTGATGAGGTAGGAGAGCCGGAAATATCGATGGAAGAAGACGTTCAACAAGATAGTCCGTTCGCTGGTGAAATATCAACTAGTGATGAGGCAGGGGAGCCGGAAATATCAATGGGAGATGACGTCCAACAAGATGGTCCGTTCGCTGGTAAAAAAATCACCTAGTGACGAGGTAGGGGAGCCGGAAATATCGATGGGAGATGACATTCAACGCGATAGTTCGTTTGCTGGTGAAATACCACCCGATGACGAGGGAAAGGAGCCGGTAGAATCACAAGAGGAGGAGCTCGAAATAAGTCCATCAGCAATGCCAATAATTCTTATTGCAAATCCACCATCAATAAGTCCATTCGCCCGTATGAGAAAACCATCCGAAGGCAAGGTATTCCACCCATCAGAATTACGAAGGGACAGAGATGGACCGAACGAGTCATTACATGTCGATAAATCATTCTACGTCGAGAAACCACGGGAGCGATTACCCCTAATCATCCGTCACCGCAAAATTCGTCCCCGAAGCATCCTAGAAGATCATATGGGGGAGTCATATTTCCCAAATGTTATTAAACCAAGCTATGAGCACACCCATAATCACCCACGATAACAATAGTTTACTGTGCTAACAAGAGCTGATTCTAAGTTTTCATACAGGCCTAATCACCTGTCGTTCCCCAGGCGAGGAGGGCGACCGCCTAGGGCCCAAGCGAGGAGGAGGGCACTTAAATTATGGAACGACAGGATATGGCTTCCATCACAATGGGTTAGTCCATGTTATTAAATACAAGTGCTCGATGTGGCCCAACTAAAAAGTTGATGCTTTCAATTGCCTAGTGATCAAAACCTATGTTATTTGGTAAAAGTTTGATGTATTGCCTCAATTCTTTCAAAATATAAGATTTAATTTATTAATTTTTTACTTTTATCAGAATTTGAAGGGTGAGACACCTGCTGGTTATCATTATGATAAGAGATTTTATGTATCCACTCACTTGCTCTCTTTTTGATGTTTTTATTTTGGTATTCATGTTATAACTATTAATATTTATGTCAACAGTGTCAATTATCAAATTGGGAATTTGGGATTTTATCTTACTCCAAAGGACTACAAATCTAATTGAAGAATCCAGGTGCAATTGTTCTTTTCTTATACTTATTTATTAGAATTGGTTTGTGTGACTCTTTGATGAGATGTTGTCTAAAAAACATTTGTCTGGAAGTGAAAAAAGAAAAAAAAAAGGAAGCTAGAGGAGGAGTTAAAGAAGTCACAAAAAGGTGCTCTTGATAAATTTGTGTTTAAAAAGGTTGATTCTCATGAAACTTTGAATAAATCAACTGAAAATTTGCATACTGAAAATCTTGGAAATTCTGAAAATGTGATTGATGAAGTGAATGATTCAATTGACTTTAATGATGTGCCAATTGATGAAAATGTTGAAAATTTAGGCATTGGTGAAGAACCACTTCCTCATTTGAATATATATGATCCTATAAATTGGGGGAATCTTGACAATAATGCGAGGGATATATTAGTTACAAAAGGGCCCATAAGAGAAATGAATCTTGAATTTACTGTTGATAAATATTATAGACATTTCTCATATGCATGTTATTCTAGAAAGTTGAGCAATGGTGAGATTAGTGATAGAAAATGGTTAGTTTATTCCAAAAATGTTGACAAAATATATTGTTTTTGTTGCAAGTTGTTCAAATCGATTAGTAATGTAAGTTTGTTAGCAAATGATGGCTTAAGTGATTGGAAACATATTAGCCGAAGGCTTAAACAACATGAAAATAGTGTTGAACATATGAGTAATATGAATATTTGGAATGAATTAAGAGTAAGATTGGATAAAAATCAAACAATCGATAAAAATTTGCAAGAAGAGATTATGAAAGAGAAAGAGCGTTGGAGACAAGTGTTACAAAGAATATTCTCAGTTGTGAAATGTCTTGCTAAACATAATCTTGCATTTCGAGGATCCAATGAAAAACTATATCAAGATAACAATGGTAATTTTCTGGGATTGATTGAAATGATTGCAGAGTTTGATGTGATTATGCAAGATCATGTTAGACGCATTGAGGATCGTGAAATTCATTATCATTATCTTGGACATAAAATTCAAAATGAGTTCATTTCCCTTTTGTCTCAAAGTGTGAGAAATTCTATCATTAAGATCATTAAAGAGGCTAAATATTTTTCCATAATTCTTGATTGTACGCCTGATGTGAGCCATCAAGAACAAATGACCCTCATAGTTCGATGTGTTAATATATTAAATAACAAAGTTAAAATTGAGGAGTTCTTTTTGGAGTTTCTAAAAGTGGACGATACAACTGGATTAGGACTCTTTAATGAACTACAAAATGTTTTGAAGTCTCTTGATCTTAATGTTGATTATGTGAGGGGACAAGGTTATGATAATGGTTCTAATGTGAAAGGAAAGCACCAATGTGTTCAAAAAAGATTTCTTGAAATTAATCCAAAAGCATTATACATGCCTTGTGCTTGTCATAGTCTAAATCTCACTCTTGGTGATATGTCACATTCTTGTGTTAAAGCTATTTCTTTTTTTGGAGTTATTCAACGCATATATGCATTGTTTTCGGGTTCTACAAAGAGATGGAAAATTTTACTTGATAATGTTCCTGGATTAACTGTGAAATATTTATCAAATACTCGATGGGAGAGTCGAATTAAAAGTGTCAAAGGTATTAGATTTCAATGTCCCCAAATAAGATTGGCTTTGTATAAATTATATGAATCTTGTGAAAATGATGCAAAGTCAAAAAGTGAAGCTGAAAGTTTGGTGAATGCATCTCAAGTTTTGAGTTTTTGCTTGGTGTTGTGATTTGGTATGACATTTTATTTGCTGTTAATATGGTAAGCAAGAAATTACAATCTAAGTCTATGTGCATTGATACTACCATAAGGCAATTAGAAGGTGTGATGTCCTACTTTGAAAAATATAGAGATGAAGGCTTTACAACTAGTATGAATGTAGCTAAAAGTCTTGCACTTGAAATGGATGTGGAGCCTATCTTTCCCACAAAACATTTTGTGATTAGGAAGAAATTTTTTGGAGAGAATAATGAGATAACGAAGTTGAATTGCCCGAAGAGTCAATTATTTTTTGGTTGTGGTAGATATGGCAATTGCTTCTTTGAAGAATAGATTTGAGCAATTGAAGACATTTGAAAGTATTTTTGGATTTTTATATGATTCAAATAAGTTAAAGTCATTAGATGATAATGAGTTGAAAGAATGTTGTGCTCATTTTCATTATACATTTTCTCATGGTAATTCATCGGATGCTGACTTAGATGATCTTTTCTCTGAATTGAAAGTCTTACAAATGACTTTGCCGACAGAATTGTTATCCGCCACTGAAATTCTTAAGTTTTTCAAATCTGCATATTGTTATCCGAATACTTCAACTGCTTATAGGATTTTATAAACTTTGCCTGTGACCGTAGCTTCAGCCGAAAGAAGTTTCTCAAAGCTTAAATTAATAAAAACGTACTTGAGGTCATCAATGTCACAAGAAAGGTTGAATGGTTTAGCAACATTAGCTATTGAGAAGGAGATGATAGGAAACATTCATGTTGATGTTATTATTAATGACTTTGCATCTCAAAATGCTAGAAAAAACTGTTTCTTATGAAAATGTGTATGTTGTTTTGTAGGTGAGAAACGTCAATTTTCGATTGAGAGAAACGATTCTACGAGATGATTGAAGACATAATAGGAGTAAATTGAGTGAAAAATTATGATGTCTCTTTATATATTTGGTAAAATAATGTTGGTTAATATAATAAAATATACTCGTATAATTTTTAATGAAAAAATTTATTTGGCGTCTATCGAAATTTATTCTTGAATTTTAATTTAATTTTTTAAGGGCCCTTATCTCTTATTTTGCCTAGGGCCCTTAAAATATCAGGACCGGCCCTGGTAACAACAACAACAACCGTAGTCGTTCTGTGCATCAAACGTTGCTTGGTGCTCAAGAAAGATTGAACAAGGACGAGTTACCGGCTCGTTCGATTAGTCCTTCGCCATGGAAGTCGGACCAAAGACATTCTAAGGTGACAAGCATGGGAGATGAATGCATTGACATTAGATACAAAGATGAACAGTTTACAATTCAGCCGATAAGAAGGTCTATTTCAATGGGTTCATCGTCGGATCGTCGGCTACGTACTTTTAGCCATTCAAGAAGCCATAAGATCGAACTGGGACCGGCAGCAAGACGGAGGTTAGCTCCATTGAAGGTTGCAGCAGCAGCAGAGTAAAGAGACATTTTTTCTCTTTTGGTCACGGCAGAGGGTCCAAAAATGCACCTTTACCCGAATTTAATCAATGTCTTTGGTCAAAGGGTTTACTACTAATTTTCCATAACAGGGAAAATTCTAAACTTCAGCAGCTCAATGTTTCAACATTTCTAGATTGGAAAACAAATGTAAATAGATTCATATCTATTTAAATATTTTCGAAGACAGTGATAAATCGAGGGGCGGGAATAATCGTACTCTCTAGAAAATTTAATTTTTTTATATAATTTAAATATTTATTTTATATTTATATCGATAATCTAAGTTTATATTCTTCGACAGTTTATAATTTCTTACCTCGTAATCTTTTTTAATATAAAATTTTACATACATCTTTATTTATAGAGATAAATTACATCGTCCATGTGGTTGACATTTAAGAATTTGAGTTTGTCAGACTAAATTTGAAGTCTACCACTGTCACTCTTGGTGGGTAATCCATAGATTCTTATATAAATATCAATTGAGTCTTAGGTATGCCTTGGCTCTGAACCGGAGGAGCCACAGCTGACCAAATGAATTTTATAGTGAAATTTAAAGTTCATCATCCACTTCATATAATGACGGACGATAATCGATTGTTACAATTTAATTAATTGTGTGACTCAATTGTAACTCTCTAAAATCTAATACTTTTCATAAATAAAAATATTCAAAGTCAAAAGACCATCTAAATTTTAACAATTCAATAATTTTTTTTTATGATAATCGATTAATTAAGTGTTTCATTTGTAATTTTGAAATCAAACGATTCAATTGTAATCTTGTTTTTTTAAAGGTGGTAATTTAAATTTATAAGAATGGTAATTCAACAGAGGGAAACAAAAAACCTGAGACTCGTTAAAATACCTAACTAACCCTATTCGGAGGAAAAAGAGTGCTTAAGTCAAATGCAACATCTCTCAAAGCCACTGTCTGTATGGATGCCGGACCCCATTGTGAGTTCGGGTTCAGGGCATGCCAGGGAGTAATGACCCATTACGTAGAGTCCCTCGGCGCAACCGATGCTCTTGAGGTGGTTTGGGTCTAGTCCAAGTTATTCGGATAACAATTCAAATAGGGTATGCCCCAAGTCCATTACATCGTTTGTGTAGTGTAGCAATATGTCCCTGCAGGCTTCAGGGATTTCTTCGAGTGCAGGGGGATTAGGGGCCATGACACAAGTAAGGGTGTCCCTCCAATAGGCAGCCAAAGCTTGGGACATGTCGATTTTAGTGTTGAATGTGATCTTCTTCGATTCTTCTCGAGAGTAAAGCTTTTCTTTGGCTTCGGTATCCTGCTCGTTGAACCGACGGATCCCATCGATCATCTCTTCCAGGGTGGTAACAGGGATTCCGTGGTTAACAAGTTGAAAGAGTCCCCATTTTTCACAAGCACTTCAGATTTCGTCGATTATCACCTCACGTCGAGTGGAGTCAGTGTTGACATCTGCGAAATCAATCACCGGGATCTTCACGTGCAGGGGGAGGCCCTGATTTAATCTGAAGATTCAAGTGGTCGTGAACGAAAACTCGAGGGAGCTTAGCTAAGACGGCATCAACGAGTCCTTTAATATCGGATTTCGATCCGTCAATAGCCATTAACTCGTTTTTTTTTTGTCATAGTTGAACTCAGCTGGTGCTGTATTTGCTGTGACAACAATTTTTTTTTTTGCCTTAAAACTCTATCTAAGGCAATGAGAAAATGAACGTCACTCTCCTATGTAGAAAAGGCTTTGAGACTTTGATTTTGGAAGTGAATGATGCTTAGACTGAAATTTGTTCCCTTTTTATAGAGGTTTTTGATGTTCGGATAAATCGTATCTTAATAACGGAAGTTAACGTCATCGTGACCACATCTTAATTAAAACGAAACGAAAGTTACCACATATTAATTAAAACGAAACAAAAGTGATTACGAATTAAGTTTTTTGAATCGAGTGACCATACATTTATAAAAATGAAATAAGAGCTGTAGCTAATGTCCTCCTTAAAAGATTTTAATTAAAAAGTTCGTTTTGACTATAAAACTAATGGTAAATGGGTGAAAAAAAAAGATTACGAGGAAAACAACGATTTGAAACCAATTGCAAAAGTTAAGATTTTTAGATTTTTTTTTCATTTTCAACTTTACGTTTCAAAACAAATTATAATTGTACTCTTACTAGTGTATAGGATCCACTCAATTATATATTAAAGTTTTATTTTAATAATTTAATACTAATATCTTAAAAATAATTTATTTAGAAATAAATTTTTTATTTTATTTTAACCTTACTAATGCATAGATGGAAATTATTAATACTTCACGTAGGTTAGTGTTTATTAATAATATTACATTTCTTGTCATCTTCGAATTCATTTGGAAATAATTAATTAAATTCCCAAAAAAAGAACTGATAAATTAAAGGCTTTATACTGTGAGCCACCGTAGGATTAATAATTTTATCAAAGGATCGAAAAGTAAAACGTGAAAAGGAAATGTGGTGTTAATTATTTAGAATGCCCCTAAACACTTTCAAATTCACAAAGTGGTCCCAAACACTTTACTTGCAACCACAAATTAGTATATTTGATATTTGTTCACTAATTAAGTTTGTTTTAATGTTTTATTTTTTACATGTAAATACGAACTTACTAAAAAAACAAAAAGTTATATTATCAAACTAATTGATTCCCTAAATAGGCATCGGATAATGAAAAATCAGACCACACTTTATGAATAAACATAACAAATCCAATCCTTCACTTCATCACTTATACAATGACTTACAAGTGAGACGTGACTTATTATCTTCAAACACTTCTTACACACCACACTTTATTATTTTTTCAGACAATGAAAGAAAAAACACAATAAAACCAGCAATCAAACAGAAGTAATGCAACTCCATGTTCAGACATGTTGAAACCAAGCTTTCTCATCCATATATGCAGTTGAACCTGCTACTTGGATCCATCCCCATTGAACCTTACAGAAAATGGAACCAAGAAGAAAAAAGAATTAAGATCATTGATGAGCTATGATTGAATCTGCAAAGTTAGATCAAAGTAGAAAATATTTACAGAGGAGGAATTAGCAAATGAACGTACCTTGTTTTTTATAATCATGTTTTCCTTCAATTTTAGCAATCTGCTTGAGTTTTGTAAAGCGCAACTGGTTTGTCATCATCGAAGTCAACGGGCTTTACACATCCCCAGTGGACAGTGTAATTGCATGTAGAGTCTGCACATTGGAGAGCCAAATCTTGACAGAGATTACTGCATTTGTTACATCGAAGATAATAATGAGGCTTGCGTACAAAAGTAAGAGGATGCGGGTGGTGGCCTTCTGCTTTGTACGTGCTTCCGGGTTTGATCAACAGACGGCTTTGAGGAACACATTGGGGATGAGCAGAAAAATCACAAGTTGCACAATGATAAAACCAGTGATTTTGATCTCTTCTTTTCTCACATATGTCACAGTGAAGATATTCTGAATAATCATTGTCCTCCTGATATGTGAGTGCGAGCGGATGTTCATCACACCTATCTCGAATTCTAAGCGGCAACGATAGACAAAAACCGTCCACATTGAAATCACAACGCTTGCATCTATTTAGGTTTATCAATGATTTACCGCAACCTTTGCAAAACCCTTTGAACCCTTCTAAATAGAAGAGAGTGTGTTCATGTGCTGGATGTTTGATTCTATAACCTCTATTAACCACACATGGAAGGCAAAAATGCTCATTACATACTTCACATTATAGGCAAAGCCGCTACTCTCACAATAGCATAATCGGCATTTGAAAATGTAGCCGACAACAAGGATGAGTCCTCGTATATGTCGATGAGACCATTGCAACTTCTTCCTGGGTGATCTAGCACAAGTTTTGTGGAGATAAAAGTCACAGTATGAGGAACAATAGTAAAATGAAGCCGAGATGAGTAGCATGCAACCATCACAAGTCTTATCATTATCCATGAAATTGTCACTTAATATCAGATTATGCGCATGACTGAAATGTTTTATTCTAGTCATTTCCCCAGCCTCATTTAGATCAATGACACGAGTGATGGGATTAATGGATGCCAAATCATCATCAAGTTCCTCATCTAAATCTTTTGCCTCAATTACAACGTAGAAGCCTTCTTTCATTGCACACTTCACATGGGCAATAAAATTGCAATCTGAGCAAAAGTAACTCCCATGATCTATATTAACCTCGGTATCACAAAACTCGCAAACCCGATTCTTGAACTCATTTCCTGAGAGGAAATAGTTGTGAAAAACGGGGTGATGATGTCGTCGGACTTTGATGATAGGCGGTATTGAAGCACATTTTGGATGGATTACAAAGTTGCATGCAGAACATATATAGGAAACAGAATTCCCTTCGAGGCCACATGCATCACAAATGAACGAGACTTTCCAGAACAGGGTGAATGGATGCTCATGGTATTTTCCTTTAATGAAAGGTGGTGGTGTTGCGCACTCGGTATGAAGAGCAAACTTACAGGGCGAACAAGAATAAACAAATTTTGGATTTTGGGTTTCTGGACATGCCTTGCAAGGTATATTTTCATGGTTGGACTGTAAAACAAGAGCGTGTCTACGATGTGAGGGGTTACTGATTTTGGAAGGTAACTCCGCACATTTAATGTGAACCTCAAACTTACACGGTGAACAACAATAAAGAAATCCCCTATATCGTGTCCGTTGGCATATGTTACAGGAGGAAAGTTGAACACTAAACTGTAGAACAAGGGGGTGTTGTTTGTGAAAGGGATGGTTGATTTCATGGGGTAGTTGGGCACATTTCTTGTGTAGGTTGAACCCACAATCAATAGAAAAGTATGTGGACTCTCCTAATGGTTCCCAACACCCAAAACAGACACAGTTTTCAGGTAATTTGTTACCCTCTCCCGGTTCCACTGGTGGATCAATGGTGGCTATGTGTTTAAGCTCCTCAGGTTTCTTTTCGGCTATGCTTAGGGTAAATAAAGCACATTTGATATGCAAGTCTATTTGACAAGAGCAATGATAAACAAACGACTCACTTTTTTCGCCGCAAAAATTGCAAATACATCTTCCACTCTTGTATGGTGATTTTGGCAGAAGAACAAGAGGGTGATTGCGATGGAAAGGGTGATGGATCGGCGAAGGTGCCTTGGCACATTTGCTGTGGAGTGAAAATCCACATTCGGCACAGCTGAACCATGGACCGGACACCATCTCTCCACATCTGCCGCAATGAGCTTCTTTGGTTTCATTGCCCCTCTCCTCGTTGAACACCATTGGATGCATGTGCCCAAAGTTCTGAGACTCCATCTCTAACTCTCTCTTTTTCTTTATTTCTGTTTCAACTCTCAATGAAATTATGTGTATAAGATTTCCATGGTTTTCAGAAACCACATTATATAGAGTTGCAAGTTTAGGATATGTGACATTTGTAATCGTTTGTGTTTCTTTGAAGTATTGATTGGGAACCTTTTGACAATTTTATTTATATTAATAAAATTACATTTACTGTGTAAAAAGACATGACAAGAAAAGAAGATAAGGGCATAGATTATTTCCTTCAAATGTTGGAGTTCCCTTCACCTATTTTGAAAGATATGCAGACCTTTTACTTTTAGGGTCTTGTACTTGGGGCTTCCCATCCCTTCTTTAAGAGGCAGGGTTTAAGTTTGGAATCAGATGTTGTAGAAAGATACAGTTTGTGTGTGTCCCAAGGGAAAGAAATACTTTACCAGAGCAAATTAGTATATTAAGATGCAAGTTTAGAATCAAAACTTTACCTTACATTAAGATGCAAGTTTGGAATCAATTCCTGCACTCAATTATATGTGTCTTATGAATAAACACAACTTTTTAACTTAATAAACATAACAAATCCAATCCTTCACTTCATCACTTATAAAATGACTTACAAGTGAGATGTGACTTATTATCACAGTACAATTTTTATTTTTTCGGACAATAAAAATAAAAAACACTCTAGACACCTTTTTTTTTCCAGGTCTACCAAAAATATTTTATTAATATTATTATTATTATTATATTTACTAATTTTATCTTATTTGTCAGTTTACAAATTTGGCCCAAAGGAGATACAAACTCAGCAGCCAACCAACAATGATCCCACCCAGCAAACTCGGATCGAGACTCAAGCACAGACCTGAACCGACTCGATCTGGCCCGTTTGGTAAACCCTAAACACATTAGGGTTTTTAACCCTAATGTATCAAGCAGTTGCCGCCGCCGATTGACCCTTCAGCTCCCACTGGCGCGTGGTCTTCACTGCCTCTCTCCCCGCGCATTAGCAGGCCGTCAAGCCACCGAGACGCCGCCGAATGTCCCACTGTTCAATGTTATCATCAACAGTGACTGATTGTTGCACCTAATCATATGAACAGCGAATAAATTGACAACAAATTAAAAATAATAATTAGCATATCCAACAAAATCCCGATGAAATTGGGTTGTGGCAGAGGCCATCAAATCCATCAGCAACAAGCATAAATCAAAGGCTAGTAAATAAAAAGAGAGGAGACATCCTTTAGATGGGAGAGAGATCAAGAGTTTAAAAAAAAACTAGAGAGGGATTTAGGGTTGGAGAGGAAAAAATAGAGAAAAAGAATTAGAGAGAGATTCGGGAAACCAAGAGAAAAAAAAAAATACCAAACCACATTCGAATAAAAATAACTGTTAGGTATGGCTCATAAATATACCAGTAAAGAGGATAGGAGATGGAGCGGAGTGAGCGAAGCGAACATCAACTGTCCTTACAAAGAAAGTCTCGTTGTGGGGTTACAAATTATGTGGGTTGGGGGTGCGGGGCGTAGCCCCCGCGGTACGGTACAGGGTTGATTTTGTAATTATGTACCAGGGTTTTCTATTATAAATAGAGATGTAACCTAGACCTAAAATATCATTGAATAAAATTCTAGCGCCGCCTAGGCACCGAGGACGTAAGCACATTGCCGAACCTCGTAAAATTCTCGTGTTCTTTCGTTTTCTTTACCCGTTTTCGTCAACAATAACAAATCTAATCCTTCACTTCATCACTTATAAAATGACTTACAAGTGAGATGTGACTTATTATCTTGTAACAGCTCTTACACAGTACACTCTTTATTTTTTTTTCAAGACAGTAAAAATAAAAAGAAAACTCAATAAAACCAACAATCAAACAGAAGTAATTCCATGTTCAGACATGTTGAACCAACAATCAAACAGAAGTAATGCAACTCCATATTCAGACATGTTGAAACCAACAATCAAACAGAAGTAATGCAACTCTCACAATCGCAAAATCGGCATTTGAAAATGTAGCCGACAACGAGGATGGGTGGTTGTTGATGTCGATGAGACCAACGGAACTTCTTCATAAGTGATTCAGCACAAGTTTTGTGAAGATAGAAGTCACAGTAGCAGGAACAATAGTAAAAAAAGTTGAAATGAGTAGCATGCAACCATCACAAGTCTTAACATTATCAATGAAATTGTCACTTAATATTAGATCATGTGCAAGACTGAAATGTTTATTCTAGTCATTTCTCCAGCCTCATTTTGCTCAATGACACGAGTGATGGGATCAATAGATGACAAATCATCATCAAGTTTCTCATCTAAATCTTTTGCCTCAATTACAACGTGCCAAGCTTCCATTGCACATTTCACATGTGCAATAAAATTGCAATACGAGCAGTAGTAACTCCCATAGTCTATATAACTGGGGTGTCACAATACTCACAATCCTGATTCTTGAACTCATTTCCTGAGAGGAAATAGTTGTGGAAACGGGGTGATGATGCCGTCCGACTATGATGATAGGTGGTATCGAAGCGCATTTTGGATGGATTACAAGGTTTCATGCAGAGCATGTATAGGAAACAGAATTTCCTTCGAGACCACATCATCGCAAATGAACGAAAAAGCTTGTTTACAGAACAATGTAAGTGTGTTGATATCGAGAGCAAGTGGAAAGAGTCATCAAAGGTTTCAAAGCTGCTAGAGTGCTTAGAACGCATTCGCCGGTCAGGCTCCATCGAAAAGCATCGTGTTCAGCCAATGGACATCGCTTCTAAACCTCTTGGAGATCCCATTAAGAGAAGATGGATTGGATCCTTAAGATTCGACGGGAAACTGGTTCAAAAATTCTGAGAGTGTTCTATGACACGAGAGAAAACGGTAAAGCCCCCAACACAAGAATTCTGATTAAATCATTGAATCAATTCTTTTCGTAACTCATTTTTCCTGTTTGTAGGTTTTGCTGATGTCTTCAAGAGCTGGTGGGGTAGGCCTGAATCTAACTGCAGCATCAAATGAGTTCTTAATTGTAATATTACAAAACATATAGAAAACAAGAGAATCAAATTCTTATGCTTTTGTCTAAATTTATGATCATCCCTTCGTAGGATCCCTGGTGGAATCCTGCAGTTGAGGAACAAGCAATCATGCGAATCCATCGAATCGGACAAAAGAAAACAGTCACTGTTAGAAGGTTCATTGTTAAGGTGAGTTTCAGTCTCTCAAATATGTTATTTTCTGGGTTTCTTCCATTAATGAACACAAACTGAGATGAACAAATGATATGATCCCAGGAAACAGTTGAAGAAAGGATGCAACAAGTTCAGGCAAGGAAGGAGAAGATGATTGCAGGTGCTTTCATTGATGAAGAAGCCAGATCAGCAAGGATTGAAGAGCTCAAAATGCTCTTCTGATGATTATATATAACCCTCTAATTTTGTAAATGATGAATGTACTTAAGAGAGGGACTAAAATGCAAACATTGCTTTTACGGGGGGCTTCTTAGTATATAGTCCATTTTAACCTCATTTTTGTAAATTCTGGTTATTATGAATGGCAACTATTTATTTATTTATTTTTGTTAAAAAGAAAGATTGACCATTCAACAGTATCTTTTGACTGAATTAAAGTAGTCATAAAATCAAACTAATTTTCTTAATGCAAAAAAGGAAAATAATAAATAATAAATAAAGTATTTTTAATTTAAAAGGAAAATAGAAACACTTGAGGCCAATAAAAGGAATGTTCCAGAAAAAATCAGACAAAGTCAAAGAAAAAAAGTTGAACCAGCTAAGCTTATCCTTTTCACGTGGGATCCACTCGCCCCTCTTCTTCCTATAAAAACCCTCCAAAAGCGATGCATCGATTGAAACTCTCATTCAACAAAGAAAAAGAAATTATTAACTCTCGTCGGAAATCCTAGAATCTCATCCATGTCAACCTCGCCGAACAAATTCACTGCCGCCAACGGTGGCTCCATGCGGCGGTCCGGCCGACTTCAACTTCGTGCTCCTGCTTCCTTAAAGATCAATCCTGTTTCCAGCTGGAAAATTGCGATCCCTCTCTTATCTCCGCTGGCATCTTCGCCTCCCTCGATTGATCGGAAGCAAGAGCCACCTCGTGAAGAACACCAGCCGCGACAGATCCAGAGAACGGAGCCCGAGAAGCTTGTGTTCAAGATGTGGCAGCATCCAGCAGCACCGTTTTGTTGCGAGCCGGCACCGTTCGTGCCGTCGTTCGTGCCGGTTTAGTTTCATACACGAAGACGAAAAGTAGTAGTTAGATCTAACGGCGTGTGTTCGTGTTTTGTTCCATTTTTGTATAATCTGTTCATATTATTATACTTTTTTTTAAAAAAATGTACACAGTTGTGCATTTTCTCCATTTCACTTTGCTTTACATAATTATTTTTTATTCTGTTTGGGAAGTGAGAAAATGACGGAAAATGAAAGGTAACAAACGAAATTGATATTTCAATTCAAAGAGAATAATAAAAGGGAATGGATTAGGTGCCGGCTTGATTTGTTTTCTGGGTTTAATATTACTATGACCAGATCTTGTTTGAATGGTCAAGAAAGAAATGGGCAGCATACAACAACAAAATACTATTCTCATATGCAATGAGACATACAACAACAAAATACTATTCTCATATGCAATGAGGTAAGGGAAGGTAGGGTAGTAGGCTGTCATCAATACCAGGTTGAGAGTAACATCCGTGGAAGACCTCCGACAGTTAGAAAAATTAAAAGTAAAGATAGAAATGACATGCATGTATAAATAAATAAATAGTTGAACAATCTTCATATGTGCGTCTGAATTGTGAAATAATTTCTGCATAAAAATCTCTGCATATAGACAGAAACGTAAGACCCGACTAATATTTAAAAAGAGCAAAACTTAAAGTGAAGGAAACACAAAATTCAACGATAGCAAGCAACGAGAAGGAATAAAGTCAAATGTGTTAAAACCTAAACTAAAGCAACACTACTCCGCTACCCTAGTTCTAAGCCTTCATAAATTCCAATGACATAAACGTATAAAAAGAATAAGTCATGGAAATTACTACAAATGCATAAAAAAGAAGACAGAGATGTTATACCCTATGGATGTGATCTGTACTACTCGGTTACCCTGATCTTAAGTCTTCATACTTTCCTATCAGAGGTCATGTCCTCAGTAAGGGTTAAATCCTTTAAATCAAATCTCAAGCAGTCTTCCCACTTCTGCTTTGGTCGTCCTCTCCTTCTGGCACCGTCGACTGTAATCGACTCCACCCTTCCTGACTGCATCCGATGGATGTCGCCTAAGGACATGTCCAAACCACTGTAGTCTTCCTTCCCTCAATTTTTCGGGTATAGGCACCACCCCCAAGGACATCCTAATAGCAGAGTTCGGTGTCATGTCCCACAGAGTCCTACCACATGCCCATCGAAGCATTCTCATTTCTGCGGCCTCCATCCTCCTTACGTGGTCCTTCTTGATTGCCCAATATTCTGATTCATACAGCAACGCTGGTCTTATTGCCATTCTATAAAATTTTCCCTTAAGTTTTAGAGGCACCTTCTTGTCACACAAAACTCCGGTAGCAGCCCTCCACTTTAGCCATCTCACCTTTATACGGTGTGTAACGTCATCATCCACACATCCATCTTTATGTATCATAGATCCTAGGTACTTGAAACAATCCTTTGAGAGGAGAACGTGTCCTTCTATGCATACTTCTACATCTTCATCGTTTTGGCTCCCACTAAAGTTTGAACATAAATACTCAGTCTTTTCAATATTGATCACTAGACCTTTTTTCTTCCAAAGCAGTCTTCCAGGTAGCCAGTCTACTATAAAGCTCAGTCCTTGTTTCAGCAACTAGGACAATGTCGTCAGCGAAAAGCATACACCATGGGACAACATCTGGTGTCGCACAGTAGATGTCGTCCATAATCAAGGCGAAGATGTAAGGGCTAAGAGCCGACCCCTGGTGGAGTCCGATTTCCACCGGGAATGGCGCGGTGTCGCCAACTGTAGTCCTAACGTATGAAGTAGTTCTACAGTACATATCACGAATCGCCCGGATATAAGCAGTTGGGATCCGTCTCGTTTCCAAGGTCTTCCAGATCGTATCGCGGGGAAGGTTATCATACGTCTTCTCAAGGTCAATGAATGCCATGTGAAGATCTCTATTTTTTCTCTATATTTCTCAATAAGCCGTCGAAGAAGATGAATCGCCTCCGTAGAAGACCTACCTGGCATAAAGCCAAATTGGTTTTCCGAAACCCTAGTAACCTGTCTCAACCTTGCTTCTATCACCCTTTCCCATATCTTCATGGTATGGCTAAGTAGTTTAATACCTCTGTAGTTGCCACAACGTTGGGGATCTCCTTTATTATTATAGATTGGTATCACCGTAGATTGTCTCCACTCATCTGGCATCTTGGTAGTCTCTAAATAATATTAATGACATATGTCACATTCTGATAATTTTGATAATTTTTTAAATTATATATTTAAAAATAACTCTAATTTCTTAACTACAAAAAATTAAATTCCTAAAAATTTCAAATACTAACCTTAACCCGCCGTCGTACGACCACCATTGTCAACGTCGTTGTTTTCATCTTTCTAGTCAGACATCATTCTTGTTGTGAATTAAGCATTGAGATCGCAAGAGGACATAATTTGTAGCGTCAGGATTCATCGGGGTACACATGTCAATTGGCTCATGTTTTGGTGGCTTTTTATGGGGTTATCGATAGTCATGTGCAAGTTCATCGACGATAAAGATCGGCACTCGGTATGAGTTTAAGGGTTGGTATTAGGATTTTCAAGTTTTTGGATTTTTTTAAAGTTTTTGAAAATTTGGGTTTTTTTAATATAATAATATTTAAAATTAAAATTTAAAATAAAATTTTAAAATTACCAGAATGTGACATGTATCATTTAAATGGTAGAATTTAATATTCATTATGGCTGAGGCACCTAAAGTGATAACATTTGTCGTTCGACACCTGGACGAATAAAAAAGTTGAGCACCTATTTAGAAAAAGCGGTAAAAATTTAAAACTCATAAATAAATATTTCTTTAACTAGCATTAAGATACTATTTTTTTTCTTTTTAGGGTTATAGTTTAAGCTTTAAGATTTGGGGTTTAGAGTTTAAGATTTGAAATTGGGGTAAAATATATATTGTTTTACTATGATTTAAAAGATATTTATTAATGGGTTATATATTTTAATTAATATAAGTCTTTATTTATTTAAATGTAATGGCTATAAATTAGTTAAGTTTACATAGTGTAAGTGGATCCTATGCTTAGGGCTGACCAACGAAATCGAGAAAATCAAAAAATCAATCCGAACCAGACTACTTGGTTCAGTTTTGATTCGTTTTATAAAAATAAATATGCAATTCAGTTCAGTTTCGATTTTTCCATATAAAACCATTTTGAACATAATTAAATTAATTAAAAAGAAAAAAAAAAAATATCATTTTGAATTTATTATAATATAAATTTAAATAAATAAATTATTAAAAATAATAATTTTATTATAATTTTTTATATATTTGCACTTGATTTAAGCTTTAAATTTATTATAAATTTAACATATCAAATAGAATCTAAAATTATAAAATATATTTACAATATTATATTTTAAATAAAGTATTTTGAGGGTAAAATAATGATGACAGTATAAAGAGTTAAGGAATTGATGGAAAAAAAAGAATTTGCAAATAATTGCAGTCAAAAGACCAAATCGAGTAAAATGTAAAATTGAGGGAATTAAAAAGAGTATATTTTTAGTAAAAATAAGAATTGAAGTTAAATAGGTAGACTAAATCGTCAATGTTTAGTCAAATTTTTTTATTGTTCGAATGACTTAAATTTTTTCAAATCAATTGGAACTCAAATTCAATCGATAATTTGAATTAACTTGAAACTCAAATTAAAAGAATAATTGATTTTTCGAGTCGTGTCGAAATTTATTCACCTTATCTATAGTAACCCATAAATTTTAAATATATCAATAGAAAAATATTTAATATACATATCGTGTAAATTTAAACTTCATTAAATAATATATTTTGAATGACTCTAAATCTATTTTTTAAAATTTGTAAATCCTAAATTCTAAACTTTAATCTCTGACATCTTCAATTAAAATATTTCAACAATAATGATACTAATTAAGATTAAAGGGTCATGGAATTAAACTGTATAAGTTATATTTATAATTTTATGAGGGACATAATTATAAATACTTAATAGATTGACTTAATATCAATTCTATATAAAGAGGTAGTGGTTGTAATTAAATAAGTTAACTTGCATTGCTCTTATCCCGTTAGAAAATTTTTATAAGAGACAACCTATCTTCTTGGAAGACCACAACTAAAGAAAGATTCAAAGATTTTAATTCATCAATTACGTTCTTATATTTATTATGGTTCGATTACATACATATCAACCATAAAAATAAGTGAATAATGCGCGATAAAACAAATGAAACGTGTTACAAAAGCATAGTAAAACGTGTCATAAAACAAAATTAAAACGTGCCAAAAAGATAAACAAACGTAATTAAAACAGAGCCCATCAGTGAGAAACTTCATGGCCCGCCTTGAACTAGGATGCTAACACCCCTCCTTTGGTCCAATTAAGCAATTTAAAGAAATTAAAAGATCCACATATTTTGGGCCACAAATTATTGTGGATTATATGTTCATTTATAGGATGATGCTTTGTTAAGTTTTTCGATTATTAAAAGTTGCAAAATGGTCATTTGATTATAGAGTGTTGTTTTATTGAGTCTTTCAACTATTAAAGTTACAAAATGGTAACCTGACTATTCATTATATTTCAAACTTGTCCCTTTCGGTTAAAAAACTGACAACAATCTGAGTTGAACGTTAACATGTTGATTGTGATATGTTAAAATATGATCCTAGAATCTTAAACGACTATCATATCTCAGTCATCATGTTAACGTCCAGCTCAGACGACAGTTAATTTTTTAGCATAAAAGGACAATTTTAGATCATAATGAAGTCGAATGACCATTTTGTAACTTAGTCAATGGACTCAATAAAGTAACACTCTATAGTTAGAGGACTATTTTATAACTTTTAATAGTTGAGGGACTTAATAAAATAGTAACCTATAGTCAATAGATTATTTATGTACTATTCTCTAGTTTTTAATGATGCTCTTTTACCTTAAGATCGAGTTTGGTTTAAGAACAAATAAAATTTTCCTAAACTCAAGTCTAATGGACCGAAAAATCAATTCAGCCACATACTATTGAGGGTAAATTACACATATCATCACTAAAGTTTACTTTCTGTACTATTTCACTTACTTTACTTTAAATATGTTCAATTTTCCCAT